TTCAGGCCATATATGAAAACCCAGCAGCCAACATTATACTTAATGGAAAAAGACTTAAAATTTCCTCTTAAGATAGGAACAAGACTAGGCTACATACTGTTACCACTTTTATTCAATATTGTATTAGTAGTCCTAGCCAGAGCAATACGACAGAAAACTAATAAAAGGTATCCGTATTGGGGAAAAAAAAAAATTATCTCTATTTGTGGATGATAAACCAAAACAAATCAAACACACTGCTACCGAGTCAGATCCAACTCATAGAGACTCTTCCTTGGGTTTCCAAGGTGTTATCACTATGGAAGTAGATTGTCCAACTTTCCTTCCAAGGAGAAGATGGGAGGTTTGAACCTCTAGTCTTCTGGTTAACAGTCAAATGTCATAGGCAGTATGCCACCAGAGTTCTTTAATATAGAAAATTCCAAAGATTACACAAGCATAGGGGAATTAAACAGAGTTGCAGGGTGCAAGGTTAACAAACAAAAATCAGTTGGGTTTCTATGAATCAGCAATGGGAAGTCTGAATGGGAAGTCAGATAAACAATTCCATTTCCAGTAGCATCTAAGGGAATAAAATACCAAAGAATAAATATAACCAGGGATATGAAGAACTTATACAATGAAAACTGTAAAACACTCCTGAAAGAAGTTAAAGAAGACTTAAATAAATGGAAAGATGTTCTATGTTCATCAATCGAAGACTTGATATTGTTAAGTATTGTCAGTGCTATCCAAAGTGATCTATAAACTCTCACTGCCGTTGAGTTTGTTCCTGACTCATAGTGACACCTCCTTGGGTTTCTGAGGTGGTATCATTATGGAAGTAGAATGCCAAATCTTCCTTCCAAGGAGTGTCTAGTGGATTTGAAACACCAAACAGCCTTCTTTTCAGAAATAGAAAATACAACCTTAACTTTATATGGAATGACAAGAGGCCCCATATAGCTAAAACATTGTTGAAAGAGAAGAGCAAGTTAGGAGGATTCACACTTCCCGTTTTTAAAACATACTATACAGCTACAGTAATCAAAATAACTTATTATAACAATAGACACATTGTTGCTGTTATGTGCCATCCACTTGTCTCTGACTCATAACGACCTTATGTACAATAGAACGAAACACTGCCTGGTCCCGTGCCAGCCTCACTATCCCTACTATACCTGAGCCCATCTCTGCAGCCTCCATGTCTAGCCATTTTATTGAGGACCTTCCCCTCTTTGATTGACCCTCCACTTTACTAAGCATGACATCCTTTTCCAGAGAATGGTCCCTTCTGACAACATGACCAAAGTAGGTGAGATGAAATTTGACCATTCTCACTTCCAAGGACCATTCTCACTTCCACAGAGACCAATAAAATAGAATTGAGAGTCCAGATATAAACCTACACATCAATGATCAGCTGATTTTGGGATCAGAGTGCTAAGTCCATGTGATGGGGAAAGAAGAGTCTCTTCATTAAATGATGCTGGGAAAATTGGATTCCTGCATGGAGGCAAATGAAACAAGATCCATGTTTCACACCATTTTAGTTTGCATATTTATGTCCTTATCCATTTTGAATTTAAGTGGATATTTATGTCCTTATCCATTTAAATTCAAAATGGATAAGGACATAAATATGCAAACCAAAACCATAAAATTCTTAGAAGAACAAGTAAGTACAACACTGTCAGACCTACTTTTCAATAATAGATTATCTAATATAATAACCAAGGGAGTTCTGGTAGCATAGAGCCTAAGGCACTTGACTGCTAACCAGGAGGCTGATGGTTCAAACCCACCAGCCACTCCTTGGAAGGAAGATGGGGCAATCTACTTCCATAGTGATACTGCCTCAGAAACCCAAGGAGGGGTCGTTATGAGTCAGGTCCGACTCGAGGGCACATAACAACAACAACAATATAATAACCAAAGCACAAACCACAAAAGAAAAAAATAAGTAAGTGGAACCTTATCAAAGCTAAAATGCTTTAATCATCAAAAGATTTTACCAAAAAAGTGAAAAGCCAACATACTTACTAGGAGAATATCTAGGAATCTATATATCCAAAAAGAATCTAATATCCAAAATATATTTAAAACTTTGACAACTTAACAACAAAAGGACAAATTAACCCAATCATAAAATGGCCAAAGGACTTGAGTAGATATTTCACCAAAGAGAATATTTAAAAGGCCACCAAATACATAAAAAGATACTTCTATCGTTAGCCAGCAGAGAGATGCAAATCAAAACTACAAAGAGATACCACTTCACTCCCATTAGGATGGCTAAGATTTAAAAGAGAAAAGAACAAATGTTAATGAGGATCTGGGGCTATTGGAACCCATATCTGTTGCTGATGGGAATGAAAATGATATAGTTGTGGAAAAGAGTGTGGAGGTTCCTAAAATGACTAAAAATATAACTACCAGCAATTCTACTCCTAGGTATATACCCCAAAGACTGGAAAGCAAAGGCATGAAAAACAGACTTGCACACCAATGATCATTGCAGCACTGTTAACAATAGCCAAAAGGTGGAAACAGAAACAAGCTAAATAACAGATGAGTACATAAACAAAATTTGGTACATATGTACAATGGAATACTACTCACCTAGTAGGAAAAACAGAGTCTTGATACATTCTTCCATATGGATGAATCTTGAAGACATTATGCTTCATTAAGCTTGAAGACATAATCATAAAAGGACAAATATTTTATGGCCTCACATATATAAAAAGACAAGAAAAAGAAAATATATAAAGACCAAAGTTTATTAGCAATTGCCCAGGATGAGAGGGAGGGGGCAAAGGCTTTTAAAGGTGATGGAAATGTCACATTGAATAAGCGTAGAGTTGTACAGCCAATTATTGTATATACTGTCAATAAGTTATACATCTTTAAAAAGTTGAATTGGCAGCAATTGTGTGATAGATATATTTATAGTAACAAACAAACCAAAAAGGAGTAGCTGCTGAGAAGATGCCGTTGCCTCCAGACTGTGCCACACATAGGTTGCAATGCCAACCCTTAGAGATGACAAAGATGACAAATACTTTAGATACTTCACTTAAACTGAAAACATTTAATATCGTTTTAAATGAAGCCAAGTAATGTTATTAAAAAAAAAAACTCTATGAAATTGGCATGTTTCTTTCATTTATGAGAAAAGTGTTTATTCCATGTATATATGGAGCTCTGGTGGCATAGTGCCTAAGGCATTTGACTGCTAACCAGAAGGCTGGCAGTTCAAACTCACCAGCCACTCCTGGGAAGGAAGTGGGATTTGTTTTTTTGGCTTGGAGGTTTAAGGTCATGGATTCATTGGAAATCCCAGTAAATTGGCTTAATAGTTTGTTTAGTGCTTCTGTTCTATCTCCTACTTCCTTGTGTAGTGCCCAGTGTCTTAAAAACTTGGAAGTGGCCATCCAAGTCACAACAGTTGGTTTCTATTCACCTGGAGCAGCAGAGGTATAAGGAGAAGCAGGAACAGCAGGAGGATACTGAATGTGTGGCTAATTGCCTCCAGGAACAGCTGACTCCTTTGTCATGAGACCAGAAGAACTGGATGGTATTTGGTTACCGTTAGTGATCACCTTGTTCAAAGTTACCATCAAAGAGTCCTGTCAAAAGGAGGAAAATGCAAAACAGAATTCAAATTCTCGTAGACTCCAGACTTCGTGGAGCCATGGAGGGTATATGAACTCCTGAAACTGTTGGCTGTGAGATAGTCTTTAAACTTTAAAACAAAAATATCTCCTGAAGTCATCTTAAAACCAAAGAATAGTTTAGCTTAATATTAACTTAAAAAAGGTCTGCCTTACATTATGCTATTTCAAGAACTATATGGGTTCAAACTGACAACAGCAAATTGAAAGATTAGATGGGAATCTTAGGCTGCAGTGATTCATGTTAATGAGGGAGGAACAACTCAAAACGGAAGAGTGAGAGTGGTTGCACGACTTAAAGAATGTAATCAATGTCCCTAAATTGTACATGTAGAGATGGTTGAATTGGTATATGTTTTGCTGTGTATATTCTCAACAACAATAACAAAATACAATTTAGAGAAAAAAAAAGTACTTAACCCCATGATGAGCACATGTATTCACTGCTAAAAAAATGTAATAAATATACCCAAAAACCAAACTCACTGCTGTCGAGTCAGATCTGACTAATAGCCACACTTCCTTAGGATTCTGAGGTGGTATCACAATGGAAGTAGATTGCCAGATCTTCCTTCCCAGGAGTGGCTGGTGGGTTTGAACCTAAGTCAAATGCCTTAGGCACTACACTACCAGAGCTCGCTCTCTCTCTCTCTCTCTCTCTCTCTCTCTCTCTATATATATATATATATGTATATGGAATGGGAGCTCTGGTGGCATAGTGCTTAAGGCATTTGACTGCTGACCAGAAGGCTGGCGGTTCAAACCCACCAGCTACTCCTCGGAAGGAAGATGGGGCAATCCACTTCCATAGTGATACTGCCTCGGAAACCCAAGGAGGGGTCACTATGAGTCGAGTCCGACTTGACAGCACATAACAACAACAACATATATGGAATACACACTTTTCTCATAAATGAAAGAAATATGCCAATTGCATGGAGATTTTTATTTTCAATAATATTACCAGGTTTCATTTAAAATGATATTAAATATTTGCAGTTTAAGTGAAGTATCTAAAGGATTTGTCATCTCTAAGGGTTGGCATTGAAACATAAAGGCACAGTCTGGAGACAACAACATCTTCTCTGTTCCTCAAGGTCAACTGAAATGAGGACATCACATTGTTTTCACTGAGGCACTGAGGCTATTTTGTGCTTCCATTTAAGATCAGTGATTGCAACTATAATCCAGACAATAGAGTTTTTAGAGTCAAAAGGACTGCAAGTAAGCACTTTGGTGGAGTTTCATGGGCAACTTTGTTGCACTTCTGCAACCTTCAGTTGATTCGGAACATCCCAGGATTAGAATCACTGAGGCACATCGGACTGAGTGGATTTTATGATGGGTACAGCTTGAATGCTGTAGTGAGAACATCAATCACTCTTCACATGAGACTCCAATTTTCTGAAATGGAAGGTAGAAATGAGGTTATTATGAGGATGAAGGAGACCTGCTTGGATTTTTATTTTTTTTAAGCATGAGGAACTTATATTAAATTTAAGGAAGAACTTCTTCCACCTATGTATGATTAGACATTTACATTGAAAAATATGGAATCTCTTTGAAAGGAGTGTTTAAAATATATTTTTAAGTGATACAGAATTTATTTGCAAACAGATAGAATAGTTTGTTTTTTGCTTTTTCTTTATATTTTAAACATTTAATTCTTGATGTTATGCAGTACTTTATTCTTTGCATAAGATTTTCTTCAGTTTTGGGGAGGCTCATTTTTGTTATATTATCAAATCATAAATAATTATAATTTAGCTTTTTAATTCTTGAGGGTTCATTTTTAGTTCATTGGTATATTTATTTAATGCATAAATAAATTCACTGAAGGAACTTTAATAGTAGTAGTATCAATAAAGCAAAATATCTCTTGCATATCCTGAACACCAAGGATTGCCACTCTATGTAAAACTAATTTCCTCTGTCTGCTATATTTTTAGGGGAGAATAAAGATGTTTTATTTGGCTACCCATGCAGACGTCACAGCTGTTCTGTAGTAAACATCCCAACACCATGTGTAAACAAAATGATTTCTCATATTCAGGATGTGGAGTCTAAAATACAGGAGTATTTGAAACAGGTAAGTGACTTATTTAAATGATAACATTGTTGTTGGCTCTAGAGACTCTATGAGGCACTGTTTTTTTTTTTTTTTTTTTGTTTGTTTGTTTGTTTACAGAACCCAAGGGATTATTTTTATTTCTTAATGATAACTAGAGTACTTTCCTTTGCTAAATTTCTTAATTTACAAATCTAGACATGTTTTGATGGTCTCACTCCAGAATGGTGAAATGACCTTATTAAATAGACTTTTCCCTACCTGCTTGTTCTTTATTCAGAGGCAGTCATGTTAAGTAGTAATTTCCATAAGCCAACTTGACTAGTAAATTAAAAAGTATTTATAACCTTTTTTGGACACTAAAGTGATTAGATGATTAGATCAGTAAATTGGTGTATAAAAGGACAGCATGCCCTTTTTAATGACTTATTTTGCTCTAAAGAAATACTTAATAGGTCTACTGAAAGACAATATAATGATTCTCACTTTGTCTTTTTAACCTGTTAAAGTTTGCCTTCATTATTGTAAAGGGCATTTAATCTTAAAATCACAGTAGTTTCTGGTTATTTTCAAAAGATGGCTTGAAGTGATAAAAATTTCTCATAGTTTTTATTAAATTTTGTTTCTGAGCTATTAATAATCACAGCCCTGTAGTATTTCTCTTCCTTCACCACTGTTAGAGCACCATTCTTGGTCCAGTGTGTCATCTCCATTGAGAGGTGTTAGAGTACAGCTGTGATTGTGATCTTTAAATTACATGTTCTGTGACCTTATATGGCAAAGGAGATATTGGTTTTGTGTTAGAAGAAGAGCTAGCATATATATGCACTCAATATTCATTATCTATTATTATTTCTATAATATTATTAACATCATTCTATATTATTATTATTATGTTATCTCTATGTTTTCCCAAATCAGAATACCCTTTCAAGAAAAATGCTTTAAGGTCACAGGGCTTTGAAACCAGGAATAGAGAAGATTATGAGTATCTATTGATAGGACATGCTGTACAGTTCATATATTTTAAGTAACAGTTACACATGTTGTTAAAAATGATGAAAGTAGATTTGCAGGCATTTTATAAACAATTGCACCAATATCATTTATTAAAACCTAATATAAGTCAGGCATCATGCTCTATTATGTTATCTCACTTAGATCTCACACAATTACGGGTCAGTTTAATCACTGGTGAATATAATCATAAACCATTATTTCCAACTGGTAGATGAGGGAAAGAATTATTGAAAAGAATCTAATAACTTGTTCAAGATCACAAAACAGGATTAGGATTCAGACATGCTTCTGTTTGTTACCAAAGCCCATGTTCTTTCTACAGTCCCACTTAAGGGATTAGCACTTGATAAACTGCTATGCATTATGGATAATGGACCAGCAAAAAGATGACCTTAGATAAAATAATTCACAAAATAAGCTATTTTATGGTTTGGCTTCAGGAAAACTGATGCAATAGCCTTTTTCATGGAAGCATATTGTGTAAATGAGCTGACTGAATAAACAGAAAAGTTCTAAGAAGAGAAGCACAAGGCCTGACTTGCTTGGTTCCGGGTCTCAGTGCCTGGCTTAGTGTCTGATATGTAGTGGTGTTGTGTGCGGAGTTGATTTTGACTCATAGCAGCTCCATATGACAAAGTGGAACTACCTCATGAGGTTTCTTGGGCCTTAGAGGAACAGACTTCCACATCTTTCTCCCACAGAGCTGTCAGGTGGATTTGAGCTGTGGACCTTTACATTAGCAGTGGAGCACTTAACAATTTTGCCACCAGGGCTCCTGTGGTTCATAGATGTTTTTTTTTTTTTTTTTAGAAACAAACCTGTTGCCATCAAATCATTTCCAATTCGCAGTGAGCCTACAGGACAGAGTAGAATTGCCCCATGTTTTCTTAGGCTTTACAGAAGCAAATGGCCAGGTCTTTTGCCCGGAAAGCCACTAAGTGGTTTTAAACCAATAACCTTTTGATTAGCAGGCATCATTTGAGCTTTAACTACTGTGCCACCAAGCTTCCTTTTAATACTTAGTACCAAAACCAAACCCACTGCCACTGAGTTGATTCTAACTCATAGCTACTATTATGGGGTTTTCAAGGCTGCTTCGACTTTCTCCTGTAAAGCAGCTGGTGGGTTCAAACCGTTGACCTTTTGGCTAGCAGCTGAAAGCCTTAACCACAGCACCACCAGAACTAGTAGGTGCTCAATAAATGCAGAACGAAAAAATAAGTAAGGGCCTGAAGCAGAGCAATTGTTTTCTAGATACATCTGGGTACCTATCCACTCAATGCAATACAGTAAGAGTTATCTTTACTGAATGAACATCAGCTACTTTTCAGGCATTTGGCAAATATTTATGTTTGTATTTATTTTTTACAACTTTACCACTGGTTCTACTTTACCAGTGAGAATTCTAAAACTTAGAAAAGTCAAATAAGTTGCACATTATTTCATAGGTAGTAAGCACTGGAATTGGAATTGAACTCAGTTCCATCTGACTGCAAAGCCCATTTAGCCTCTGCTATAGGACTCTGAAGGGCAGAGGGAGGTTCTGACCACAGGGAGGCCTTAATTTTCATTTACATAGAGAGTTAGTTGGTGTTTTGACAGCACTAAACGTGTTTGAAACAATAATATCAGATACACAACCTTCTAGACAAAAACAGCAAAAATGATAAATACATTTTTGTATCAAATACAATTAATGACCAAAAGATGAATCTGTTTTAGAGCAACTGTTATAATTCATTTGCCCATCATAATGGTTAAGTTCTTGGCTGACAACTGAAAAGTTGGCCATTTGAATCTACCAGCCGCTCCACCAGGGAAAAGCCCTGGCAATGTGCTCCTGAGCCTAGGAACCTTATGAGGCAGTTCTGCTTTGTCACATTGGCTATCTCTGAGTTGGATTCATCTCAACATAGCACACAGCAACAACAACAATTGTATCACTGTGATTTTTATTGTAGTCAGAATGAACACTGTGGAGGCCAGAGATGTGTTTTCCACAAGCCTATTCATCCACTCAGGTAGTTTAACTGTAATTTTGAACTTGGAAAGGAAAACTATTTACAGAAGAATTCCTACGAAAGTTTTCTCTATATTTTACTTTTCAAGGAATGGGAAAACACTGGAGGGTGATGGAAATAATCACTTGGATAACTTCTCATGCAAATAAGAGATTTTACTTTATTTTTCCTTCACCTCTTTTTCTTAATCTGCCTAGGCTATAGTTTTATTTAATTTGGTATGATCTCTACTGAGTTGAAATTTTCCTCTTCATATAATCAATATAAGTCATAAGAATTCTACTGTATTTGCAAAAACAAAGCACAGAAAGAAAGTATTTAGAAAGTATTCTTTAAAATTGTAAGAGTATATTGTATAACATCAATTGTACTTACTAATAGCAGTTACAAAGCAGCAAATATTTATCAAGTGTTCAGTGTATTGAGCACATATTATGCATACTTTTATTGAATATTTACCAAAATCTTGTGAGGTAGGAACTGCCATTATTCCCGATTACAGACTTCTGTAATTGATTCAGAATGATTCAGGAATTGAGTTTTTCCCAAGACCACACAATCAGTGACAGAGCCAACATCCCGACCAAGCATATCTGGGACCTAACATGCTCATTGCTGCTGGCTTGTCATCTATTTCTGATGGTGAGTGCTATAAGGACCGAAAAATATGAATGCAAAATGCTTCCAATTCTAATTAGAAAACTTGGCTCTACTTATACCATTTAACATCTGTATTAACTCTGAAACCCAATGTTTAATCATTTACCTTTCTTTACTGAATCTCTGATACTTTGAGGTCTGTCATTCGTTAATTCTGTTATGCTTTAAAACAAAACAAAACCCTGGACAGTTGAAACCCTGATATTTCTACTGCATCCCATTTGCTATTGTTTTATTTCTGGAAGCACTCCTCAATCAGTAACTGTGGTCCTTTATACTTCTTCTTCTGAATGTTCATGTAGTCTGACAAGATGCCGACTCTGCTTCTCTCTGGTGCTTGCCATCTTCACTCCTCCACATGTATCGCTGGAAAGTGTTGGGGGACATCATATAATCATTTAAAATTGATATATTGTGCCTTGAAGGCCTCTAACCTCAAATGGGGTTTTTAAGTGTGCTCTGAAATTTTTCTATTTGTCAACACAGCATTTTCTATTTTTCTATGGTGACTATGTCCATCTCTCTCTTTTTTTGTTCAATCCTCAGAATCCATCACTTCACTACTTATTCAATGCTTACTTTCCAAAGAAAATAGGAGCTATAATAACAGAAATGCCACAGATTCCTATTATCTCACCTATGAACATTCTTGAATTTAGAAACAAAAAATTAATGCCTTTGTCCTTCACTGGGAGATTTCCTCCTTCTATATATGTCTAACCCCTCACCTGAATCTGTCTTCTGCTTTTGTGAGGAATGTGCTCCATCATTGTGTGTTCTCATGCGAATCTCCTTAACCCTGAAAATCACTCCTATCATTTAAGAATACAGATGTTTCTCATATTTTCAAGAAATATTTATTTATCCCATGACTACTTGCAGATACATCTCTCTCTCTTTCTTCTCCATTGCCTTTGGATTAAGTTGTCTAAATTTAGTATTTGTGATTGGGTGGGAAAAGATGGACCCAAAGAAGATTCATTGGCAGTTGGAAAATATGGCCTTAGTGATAGAAATGACACCTGAGATTGCATGATAGCATTTTGCAAGACCAATGACTTATTCATTGCAAATACCTTTTTTCAACAATGTAGACAGTGGCTATACATGTGGACCTCACCAGATGTGATACACAGAAATCAGATTGACTATATTTGTGGAAAGAGGTGATGGAGAAGTTCAATATCTTCAGCCAAAACTAAGCCAGGAAATGACTGTGGAACAGATCATCAATTGCTCATATGTAAGTTCAAGTTGAAGTTAAAGACAATTAAAACAAGTCCATGAGAGCCAAAATATGATTATATCCATGATTATATG